TTCTTTTTTCCTCTTTTTTTTTTCTTCTTTTTTTTTTTTTTCCTCTTTTCCTTTTTTCCAACAGGAAGCCTGATTTGCTATTAGCAACTCCCATTTCCTCCCTTATCTATAAAGTGCAATGCTACAGAATCATTAAACATGTAGAACACGAGTGAAAATCAACAAGGAGCAAAATGCCATGAACCAGAAGTAAGATGAAATGAACACGTTAAAGGAAGTGGAATTAATTTAGTCACGAGTTATAAATATAAAATAAATAATCATAGTCTCAAAGATCTTAAAACAAGATGTTTAAAGGCTCCCTATTTCACATGCATGAAGTTCATCGTCAAGAAGTAAAAACACTCGGCTCAAAGTACTAATCAACGTATACTCAGTAGTGAAAGAAATAACAGCACTAAACTTAAACATGTCCATGCTTAAACCCAAGCAAAAAAGAACAAATTAGATAAAAAGAAAATAAAGGCAAAATGTTTAATTTTCTCCAGGAAACTAATTCTTAGGTAAAGATATTAAGCATTAATCATACTTCATGAAACGAAACCTCTTCACAGCACTAATCCCAATCAAGTGAAAGGTTATAGATGAGAGCAACTTAATGGAATGACCGTCAAAAGTGTCAAAACGAAACAATTCCATGGCTCATGCAATGAAGTAGATATCATAATACGAACAAAGACAGTAGTATGTTCAGTGGTTTGCCTTATGATTGCTTTCTTGTCTTTTCCTGAATAGCTACATTCACTAATCAGTCATAAACCTCTCGATCTCTCTCATACCACTAACCCCTTGACCACTCAAATTTTATTATGGAACTTCCACGTGACTTAAGAATATTTGACAATCATGAAGCTTAAATAATATTTAATATGTATGTATGTGGATAAAAATTTAAACTCTTGACAATTTTATTGAACTCAAGGGTTTTAATCATTAGGCTCGACCTAGTATACTCCTCTGTTATCAAGAAAAAAAAAAACCTAGCATACTTCTGGAGGCTCTACATTAATTCAGCAGAGTTCCATGTTCGAAGTTCCCACTATTTTGGAATATGTCAAACCATAACCTTGTATACGCAACTTCAGAATTTATTGACTTCAGTCTTTCAATACAGGGTTAAAATCTAATAGAAGCCTTGTTTCGAGAACTGACTCTACATCAAATGTACAAGATATGGTAAATTTTCAAATTTAATGACTTTGTTACCTTATATACTAATAGTTAAAGGAAGCATTCCAAAACATTAGCTACAATTAGATAACACTGAGAAAAGTGGCATGGGAGAAAGCAAGAGCTTGCAAGAATTATATTGCACAACATTAAAATTCATATACATTCTTCTCATATATGACTACGCACATGAACTGTACAAAAAATTAAAGAGACACTACCTAGACCTAACTTCACCAAAAACTGAGACAAAATACACTTTAGTCAGCAAGAGGAAAGAAAAAGGAAAGTAAACAAGCACCTAGGTCTGACTCAACAAAGACAAACAAGTTTATTCAATAGTTAATCTTGAGCTCAATGATGAGAGAGAGATAAGCATCTAAGATTAGAAGCTAATTTTGCTGAGAAATAGAGAGAGGACAAGGACCACCATATTCAAGAACAATAGAATAAGAAATATGAAGGGCTCTTATTCCTTGTTACCAAATCTCTGGGCAATAATAGGGCGGACATCATCAACATCAACCAGGGTCTCCAAAAAGGGAAGCAATGAAAGCAAAGCAGAATCCCAGGGATCATCAATCCAACTCTTAATAGGAATACCGTTGTTCACTTGTAACCGGAAAACCTGAAATGAACAGAGATATGTTAAGATACTCAATATAGAGTTCCTTTTTTCTTCAAAGGTAACTTGCCTTCAGTAGCTTCTTTCAGGAACACCGGACCACAAAGTTTTTTGCAAACTAACTAGCAAGAGAAAATAAAGGATCTTTTTTGAGCAATCATCTATTCTAAGTAACCATACATGCTTCTAGGTAAAATGAAACCTAATATAAAGTTATGATTTATTAATTATGAAGATTACTCCTCATCCATTCTTTTATAAGTACTCTCTTCAAACAAACATTAACTGTGAGTTCCTAAAACATTACATTATCTTTTGCTTAGGCTTAGGATGTAATATCAAGCCAAGACGTAGAGTCAATAAATACAAGATTCTTCAATGATAAAAAACCAGGGAGAGCTGTTGTTTAACCTAAGAATAACCTCAACCGTCTCTCCATTCCACCATTTGAAATTTCAGCATATAAATCTCATATCTAACCTCATAATATATGTACTATATATAACTTTTTTTAAATGAATTGCGCATGTAAAAAAAAAAAAAAAAAAAAACGAGAGTTGTGGAGTCCAACCACATGGCAGTTCGTAAAAAGACAAAGCCAAGCACCATACCTGTGGGTAATTATCTACAATGACAACCTTCGCTAAATCGATGCCTAAAACTGTCAAATCCTTGGTGTAACATCCATCTGAAAAGATACATGATTCACGATAAAGTCGGCGGGAGATGATACAATTATCTGGGTCCAGTTTGTTGAGAACTTGTTCTGCATAAATACTTTGACTGGCCGTAAAGATAACAACTTCAAACATCTCTGCAACACGATCCAGAAATATTTGAAGATATGGCCTCCGTTTAACGTATACAATGTGCTCTTTTGTATTCAAGGAAACAGTAAAGCGGAAGTCTGCATCATCTTGCGGTTCCAAAGTAGAGTGAACCAGAGTTTCTGCGAGTACAGATGACATTTACATTATAATTCCAGATAGAAGAAAAAATAAAGATTTAAAGGGAAGCTGAACACCATAAAAACATATTGGAAAGCTAAACACAACTCAAACAAACATTTAAATAGCTCCGCTTGAAAGACAACTCAAGTTTTGCATCGTACATATTGTTTTAGAAATTTTAAATGCTAGTAATCTGATTGACATAGTCATCCACTTATATAAATCACTCATGCAAGGAGATAATTAATAGGGAGCTGAGATAGTAGTTGGTTAGCTGTAAACTACTGGTCGAGGCATAAAGGGCTGTTAGTCAGTTGAGGTGGTTATATTTAATGGAGGGAAGGCCTATCCACGGAATGCATGCACAGTATAGAGACGAGAAAAAGGGTATGAAGTCTTAAGGAGAAACAGAGAAAACAAGTGTCCCAAATTCCTGCATTGTCTACTTACAATCATGAAATCTTGACAGACTCCATGCATAATTCTCAGAATCCAATACAGACATAAGTTCCATAACTTAAAAAAATATTAAATACCAAAAATGAAATGTGCAAATATTACCAGACATTGACACATATATATGCATGACTGTATAAACGAGAGTAGGCATAGAGATCAACATTGTATTAAATAAATTCTGGAAGTCGAACACGTCATACACAAACATGCTTGATGTGCTTCAACTACTTGATTTAAGAGTGCCCCATTCCTTTTTTCTTTTTTTTTTTTGTTAAACTCTTGGACGCAGTAGGATATGCTTTAGAACACATCACGCACATCTCATAATGTGCCAGTGCATGTGTTGCAGATTTTTTTTTTTCATTCAGCGCAAGCAACATCTCATAATCCTCAAACATGCTTGATGTGCTTCAACTACTTGATTTAAGAGTGCCCCATTCCTTTTTTTTTTTTTTGTTAAACTCTTGGACGCAGTAGGATATGCTTTAGAACACATCACGCACATCTCATAATGTGCCAGTGCATGTGTTGCAGTTTTTTTTTTTTTTCAGTCAGCGCAAGCAACATCTCATAATCCTCAAAAGAAAAATATAGAATGCAATTCTCTTACCATCCAAATCAAGTACAAGGGTCACAGCCTTTCTTTTCCGATTTTCATTAGGCAGCATACTGGGCTGAAAGTTTGTTATCACATCTGACAGTTCTGGTAAATTTTTTATGAACAACTGAGGATCAAAACACTCTGTCTGATCTGAGTCAGAGCTAACGTTGAATTCAAGGCTCAAGTTATTCCTTTGATCGACTACTCGGTACAAACTAGAATTACAAAAACCAGTGGATGATTCTTCAGAAAATTTAGCATCATCTGAATTGCTGAATTTAACGGTGTCCTCGAGGAAAGGAAGTAACATATACTGATCAGCAACATCAGACAATAGAGTAGACTGAGTATACTTGTAGTCATGAAAATAATTGATGCCACCAATGTCATCATTTCCACTTAAAGGCAAGTTTGTAACTATCATGTCAGAAATAAAAAAATCTGATATGTCACATGTTTGACTGTCATATGAGCTTCTGTTATTTATCATCCCTTCATCAGTTTCCATTCCTGGTATATCAGGATCAAGTTTGCTCCCTGCGAAACACATAAGTAGACAAGCAGATAAGGGCTATAGCCAGGATTATATTCTCTGTGTCAGGAGGTAATATATTTTTCCATCTTCCAAGTATTGCCAAAATATATAATTGCTGTCAAATCTGAAGTTCAACAAAGAAATGAAAGCATGAACTTCAAGATCACAAGCACAGCAAGATGGTCGTGGTTCAGAAAACTTTTCTTAGTTCCAAACCAGCCTTCAAAATTTCTTTTCACTAGATGTTAAATCATTAATTGAAATCGAAATATGTAAAAATAATATACATTTTAATAGATGTGTCCATATGGTGCTTAGGTCCTAAATTCTTAAAAATTAGCATGCGACTGTGTCTTTATCTTGTAAGCTATTATGTCCCTATGTGCCAGTGTCCATATTCTTCCCATTAAATAAAAAAAAAAAGTTAATACCTGGATCATGTTCAAGAATAGGATGGCACTGGACTTCGATGTTATTCAAAATAGGAGAAAAAATTGTCTCTATTTCGGAAGAGTAGGTTGAGGTGCAATCCTGTACATTTTCAAATAAAAAAATTGTCATAATAATAGTAGTAGCACTAATAATATTAGTTGTAGTAGAAATAATAATAATAATAATAAAAGCAACAAGAACAATAATAATAATATAATGATGATTAAAAATGTCTGAAAAATAAAGAACAAAAACAGCACGACAAAAAGATAAACTAAAAATAAACTTTGAAACCACCACCCTTACAAACGGTACAACAAACAAGAAGGGAAGAAAAGTCAATATATGACAATAGGCAGGGATTCTTAGACTCCCTAAATGCAAGGAGAACTAAATTGGCCCTTCCAAAATATAGGATTTGGGAAACGATCTTCATTTTCCAAAAACTACACAGCCCTCATTTTGCTCCTATTTTATACAAATGCACTGCACAAATTGTTTTCGCATTATCATCCATACTCCAGTGTGAATCGTTTAAAATTCATGGGTATAAATTGCTAAAACAGTGCTTCAGATGATCTTACAACCTGGATTTTCACTAAATGTCTAATTGTATTATGAAAACCCCATATGTTTATAATCTAGGAACCAACAATGCTGACATGAGAGCATGCTCACGATCTGGAGGATGAAGTATCAAAATATGTATTTGCAGTTGATCCTTCAATAAAAAATAAAAAATACATAAATCACTTCACACCATTCCATTCGTATCTGCAGCATTGACTGAAAAAGGTTTTTCCCTCTTCGACTCGAAAGCTTCTCCGTGCCTCGTCAATTCAGAAGTTTCTTCATCAACTAATTCCCAGTGATTAATAGCTTCCTGATTTATATTGATATTAATTGATTCTGTGTTCAGAGAAGCTGCACAAGAAACAAATATCAGTACCCAAAAAAACATAGCAACGTAATTGATATTGATTGATATGGATGAAAAATAGTTTGATTTCTGAAAAAGCTTCTATTCTATTGATATTCATGTTCCTTCGATAAGTTTGGGAGGGGAAGAAAAAGATGCAAAAAGGTAACAAGTGATTAAGATTACGCTAATGTATTTGTTTAAGATGCTAGTGAATTACACTGTTTCTTTTTGTAACTTCATACTTCCAAGTGATCAAGCATTTCTAAATATTTATTAGCAGACCAAGGTAACAAATTTAAATAGGTCGAAAATGGTTAAATTATCTAATTTGTCCCGCGTGCTATAGAAAACAAGGGTCAAGCCTTCACTTGAGATGCATTTCTCAAACTACGGACGCAATCAGAAATTTATTTTTAGATAATAAAACAAGATAACATTTAAGTGAAAAATAAAGAAAGAAAGAAGCTAGAAGTTTCTTGCCCTCAAGACATTTTGCAATACAGCCATCCAATTCATCTGCCTCATCGGAAACCCTCAGGTGAGAACAAGCTTTTTTAGAGATGACACTAGATTTCTGACAAACACGAAGAACATGCTTTTCTCTTAAGCAGCCCGGGCTTGACTTGGCCTTCATTTTTATTGATGGCATTTGTCCTGTACGTTTGATATGTACCAGTACGTTGATTTAAGAACATCCGTGGAAAACAAAAGCTGTAGCACATAATTCGAGACCATAAGTACCCAGATATAAAAATCCAACGCATCAACAGATGGAGCAACCATCGGAAATTTGTATGTAGAATGAAAAATCAATGCATGTTTCCAAAGGGAAATAAAATTGTTGGTACTTCACAGCTCAAGGCTATTTCACACCCAACTCAAAGCACCACAAACATCAAAGGGGTAGCAAGAAGTAAATATTGATTAGAAAATTTGTCAAAAATGCATAAAACTTGTTGTGGCATGGTATGTACGGAAGCATCGTGGGAAAGTGACAACTATGATACTTGATAGGATGATTCTTCCCCAAGAGAAAAAAATCGGCCGTCGCAAAGAAGCAACCAACTATTTTAACCCCAAGCAAAATCCAAAACCTTAAGGTGTTAGAAACCCTTTTTCAAACTCTGCAGTCCAACAATTAATTAATAAATAACACCAAGAATAAAATCTAGACAAACAGGGATTACAAAATTCAGATCATATTACAAAAATCCAATTATTCAACGTAAAAATAAAATAAAATCAAAATTCACAGCAAAGAACTAAATTACTCTCCAAGAAACAAGTAAAAAGAGTAACAGTAGTAAAAACTTCAAAAATCTTTCGAACTCCAGTAGCGCACAGTATCGGTAAAATTGAGGACCGAAATAAAGGCGGTAAGAAAACAGAAAATTCTCGAAGTCAACCAGAGCAGAAGTTCCATCGGGGAGACTCAGCAGGAAAGATGAAAAGAACTCAAAATCGAAGTCGAAAATGAACTATGTGAAGCGAAAACCCTAGAGAGGTCGAGCAGATTAGTTGAAGCCATAATCCTTGAAGGAAGGCCAAGCAAAAAGAAAAGAGAGTAGAAAGAGCAAATTGAGCGACCATAATTATGAAATTGAAGTGAATCAGAGAGAAGAGAAATCGAAGGTGGAGTAAAGAGAGAGAGAGAAGAAAATTCAAATACCTGGTGAAGAAACAGAGTCCTCCTTGGTGGTGGTTGTTCTTCTTCCCCACCTCCACCTCCTCCTCCTCTCTCTCCCCCTCTCTCTCTCTCTCTCTCGAAAAAGTTCTTCAAGGAATGGTCAGAGAGAGGAAGATGTAGAGCTTGGGGACTTTAAAGACGGCTCTGATGGGGGTATTTCTAAAATGGTTGGACCGATAGAATTTGGCCACGTGGCTAGTGGAACCAGCTAAGCACACCGCGTTGACACGTGCACCTTCCTGGTAAAGGAGCCCGAGGTCGAGGTAGATCATTGTCTACGCTTCCATTCCAGTCTCTCGCAGCTCTTTCATTTTTTTTCTTTTTTTAAATGATTGTAAACAATTAATTAATTAATTAATTATTATTCCAAATTCTCTCACTCTCTCATTGGTTGGAATTTGGATAAATCAAAACACATTATTTTATTTATTTCTCTCTCCTTACAAAATATCTCAGCTGATAAATACTGTTAAAATTATTTATTTGATTATGAGTTGACTCGATATTGACTAGTTAATGAGTTAATTGACTATGTTCGAGTTGATCTGTGGTTATTTTAAATTGACTTTTAGAAATCTCGAGCTAGAGAATAAGAAAAATGACAGTTTGGAGACAAATAAATGGAATTGATTTAGAACACAAAAGGACCTGACATCCAAAGCCTTTCCTGCCTCCATAAATAAAGCAGATGCAATGATCAGTGTTATAAACACAAGCAATTGATATACAATTGTGTGGTTCCTCTCAAAGCTTCTCAACCAATAAACACAATCACCTGTGGTATGTACATCACATTTGCCATTTCTCAACCCAACGTTAAGGGGGAAGGCAAAAAGAAGCTCCAAGAATGCAGGAAAAATTGTAAACCAATTCAGTAAACGAACGATAACGAGCAGTCGAGACCAAAGATTGTTCGGGGTTCCATTGATAAGTACAGCAAACAGCGTGACAGCGACTGCTCCATCTTCAACCAAGTTTTCCGACCAAAACACTGCATATTTGCATATGTTTCTTCTTCCCAATCCACATGTACTTGAATATTTTCTCAGGAGTATCAATCAGCAGCTAAAGATCTAGGCTGAGGAAACGTCGGGTTTAGCGTTTGTCGGGCCTCTCGCCAATGCTGTAATTTGGGGGACTACCTGCAAAATCAGTGGAAAATGACCCATTCACCCCCCATATATTGGAACCCAAATTGGCAGATGGCAGATGTTCTTGGAGGACCTGCAAAATGAAATGATCATGATAATAAGCAGAGATCACAGTTAGTTTTACATGTCCTGTGCTTAATTCTGGCTTATATCAGAATGAAAAATTAGTTTTATCTGCTTTATACGTTCCATCATGTTTACAAATGAGCAAGGCTGAATCAGTTAATTTGAACTTTTGACCTGATTTCCAGCCTCTGGACCATCTGAGTGAAAAAGAATGGGCCGGCAGCGCTTATCTTCATTCATTAAGCTCGAGTTTTGAAAATGACTCACGAGAGCCACCTTTCCTTGGATTCGAGCGTAAGCCAAGGACGCAACTTTCTCGCTATTGAACTTCTCCCATCGCTTTCCATCGAACGCCTGTGCAGAAAAACTCAAATACTTGGACTGCAGACTCTGACTCAACCATATTCAATGTAGAATTCTAAAATATCAAGTCAAGTAGTCAATGAAAGAAATAAAACCTCGTAAAAGGAAACTATGTGTTGAGGAGATAGCATATTGATGAAAGCATAGCCCACGTTGCATTTATTCTGCATGGTTTAAACAAAAACGCCAACCGGTTGAATTTGTGCGAAGTAAAATAGCTAAAGAACAAGTTTTGGTCCAAGTTCAATCCCAACATTCAAAAGGATAGTTTAAAGCTACCTTAAAATCAATTGGCAAATAGAGAAAATCATAAGTGCCCCTATGATTTTCATCAATGGCGGCTAATAACATTTTTGACGTGTACCTGTGGGAGAATCGTTTGTGAATATTCATGACTAGTAAAAGAAAGAAGCAAGACAAAGAACATGGTAAAGAAATGGTCTTATCTTACTTATTCGGAATGTTTTTTATCATTAAGGTGGTTCGAGTGTCTTCTCCGCCCTTAATTTTATCCAAGTCGAGCTGAAACTGCTTCCTACTGTCAATCTGATTTCCATAATTCTCAATCCATCCACTTCTGCCAAACTCGTTCAAACCATCCACGCTGTTCGGCAGCAGTCCCAGGTATGGAACACTACCTGAGAACATCGGGTTCAGCACAGATGAAGACATCATTTGAAAACTCGAAGGGCAATTTTCAGACATGTTTCTTGGTTTGGTGATGGCGGCTTTTACAGGAGCATTTGAACTAGAACCTAAATCTCTGAATGCACCAGGACCCATCAATGAAGAATTTGGTGATTCAGAAAAATACCCGAACTGCCTCTCTGATGGGACACCAGATGGAGCAGATCCAACATGATGTGAGTGAGTGCTCGGAGTAGAACTGAAGATAGAAGTTTGCCGACCAGGAAATGGAAATGTTTGACCATTTCCATTGGATAAGAAATGATGGTTTGCATAGGATCTTGACCAAGCAGAAGAACCAGAGGACTCCGAGTATGAATTCTGACTCCCCCAAAAAGTTTGGGGACTCCGAGTAGATCCACCCGATGTGGGAGGTCTGAATGAGGACATTATCTCATAATAGCGGCTAGGTTTTGGCTCGGGAAGTGACTGGGATGGTTGAAAGGCAGCTACATGCAATGGATTTATATAGGTAAATGGATGGTCCATGTTGTTACCCCTTCCTTGGTCCTTACCAATGGGAGACACCTTCACAGTACTTCTTGTTACATTAGGAAGAACTGAAGCCAATCCAGGCAAACGGTTGCCACCGGTTGGGCTCATGGATGAAAAACCAGGAAATGTACTAATACTTCCCATTGAACTAGGTTTAATCGAGCCATTGACGGACAACCATTTCCCTGCCACAGATGCTAGGGAAGTTGGAGATGGAAAATTTTCTGTAGTAAATAAAAAATACAAATACACAATAATGAAATGTGTGTGAACAGTGATAGTAATGTTTCAAGGTACCTGGGGGAGAATTGATCACCGGCGAACCAACTTGATGGCGAAAACTCCAGAAATCATCTTGTTCAAGTTCTTGATTGAGTTGCAACGTCGAGCTGGAGGGATTGAGATGACACAGAACAATGATTCAATAAGAGTGTTACTATAAAATGCATCACCTTCTAAGGTTTGCTTACTTCCCAAAACTTATCCCACAAGAAAAAAGCTATATTTATAATGTAAGTTAAAAGTTAACGGGAAAAGAACATAAGAGAAGAAGAAGCAAACATAAAAGTTCTTGAATACACACTTTCGACGGGCTCCACCAGGGCGACTTGGTTCTAGCTTTATGCGTTTACCAACAATGTCACTTCTATTCAATGCCTTCAGTGCTGCTTCAGCAGCTCTAACATCATAATATTCAATGAACTTATGGTGTCTCTTGTGCGGAGTTTCCCTTATCTGCTTTGGAAAAATGAATACCACGTAGCCAAACGTCAATAATCGTAATTCAAGAGAACTTGGAATAAACTGACAATAGAAATGTTGGGTTTGGTAAACCAATCACCTCTTTGACCTCACCATAGACCCCAAAAATTTGAAGAAGATCTTCATTGGGAATTGAGGGATCCAAATTAAAGGCTACCAAGGTTCCTTGATTTATATCTTTCTCAGATGGATTATTCTGTTGAAATGAAAGAAACCAAAGAAATGAATGCAACACTCAATAACCATATGACAGATGGGATAAACAATAACTATTGAAAATCTGCTCAAAACCTTGGGAATTGAGAAGTGAATGTCAAGTTTTCTCCGCCGTAGTGGTTTGTTTTGCAATGCACGCATAGCCGTTCGAGCAGCACGAATGTCATAATAAGATATCATTACAAAGCCCCTGTGTTTACAAGCAGTATACAAAGTCCTAATATCGCCATATTGCTGCAAGCCAGAAGGAAAAAGGAAACAAAAAAAGGGAAAAGGGGGGAAAGCAGCATGCTAATGATATTAGCAATGGCCATAAATCAACAATACCATCATATCAAGAAATATGCAGGTATGATTTGACAATCATATAGCACCGTGGATAAAATGGACAATGACGTGATTTTTAAATAACATACAAACAAATTGCATCACCTCAAAGAGAGCTCTCAGTTCTGAATCTTCGACGCTACTATTAATGTTCCGCACAAACAATGTTCTTGAAGGATGCTCTCCATAAGGATGTTCTCCAGCAACCGTTCCAATGCCATTTGAATAGGTATGAGGAGGCACCACACTTCCAACTATACCATCACTTAAGCCTGCCCTTGAAGAACCAATGCTAGCCTTTTGTTGAGCATCTGTTTCCAATTCCAAGCCACCACCACTACTGAAAATATCACATTCTTCCAAGTCTTCAAGAGAGCTAGGAAGGCCATTCAGATCTAAATCATCCATTATGCCAGCTAGAAGCTCCTCCTCATCGTCAGGAAGTAAATGGCCAATTGCATGAGTTTCGATGTCTTCAAGCATATCATCCCCTTCCAGACCCGGTTTGAGATTCTTAAAGTGAGACGAGATGTCATCAACAGATTGAATAGCAACTCTTTTGTCAGCCATGTTCACTGCATTTTACGGTTGAAAATGAAAGGATCTCAGTTAACACTGTATGGGATGAAGGATATTAGACAGTTGGCATTGGCAACACTTACGATTCGCATGCAGAAGAACTGGCAATGAGCTTGAGAATAGCGTAGTGACACTTGAAGAATGGAAAACATCAGATTTTTGGAAATTACCCCATATGTTTTCCGTTTCTTTGGGCTTAGATACAGGTGGAGTGTTAGAATTACCTACCAATGAGAAGAAAAAAAAGAAAACAAAGCAATTACTACACTCCTTTAACCATTCTTTTATATAAATGATGGTTTTAAAAGTAACCTGAAAATGAATAATGTGAAGGCTCCTTCTGCATCACTTTCTGATCTTCTCTACTCAAAATATGCGATAAAGAGATTATTTTGGTGTACTTTTTTTTTATATTGTTAAAAGAATCACGTCGTCGACGAGTTTTCTGCCAAGATGAAAGGAAAACTATTCACTGTCAGGATTGAGCGATAAATCCAATACTCAATGCAATGAAAGTTTTGTAATCCTCGATCAATCACATTCGGCTTTAAAAGCCAATGCCCGAATAAATTGAAGGTCCTAGCCTAATGATGATCGAGAAAATTTAAAAGTATACTCGACTTCCAACTGTTCAATATACTTGGGATTTTAGTTCGAAAATGTTAAATCACCACTAAACCAAAAGTTCTATAGATTGTGGTATATTTAATATTTTAATATAGACTCAAATATGAAATTGATTAACAAAACTCAACAGATGAACTACTAATATAATATCAACTAGAGAGAAAATGACAATGCAAAGATTCAAACACAACATTTCTCAGTATCATTAAATCATTACTAAACTCAAAAGTAGTGTAGATTTAATAGTTTAATATATTCTTAGTACAAAAATTGTCAGACATCCGAGACAAGCCATGGCTAAATGAAGACATCAGCAACTACAAGGAAATGTAACTTCGATTCTAAAAGCACTGTACAATATAATTCAAGTTCAACTCAAAAGGGTTAACGAAACAAAAGTTCAGTAAGAACCACTTCACAAGAGGAGGAAATAAAAGAACACAAAACTGAACAAGTCAAGCCAAAACGATCCTTCGCAAACACTGTATCATATTTCAGCAAAATCAAACCGCATATGGAAACAAAAGCAAAAATCGAGACTTCGAGAACCAACACATACAAATTTTCATGTAATCAAACGAACGGGGAAATTCAAAATACGTTCCAGCTGAAGACAGAGACAGAGAAGTTACAACAAAGATTAAGGCAAACACGCCCCAAAAAAGTACTGAATAAACCGTACGAACTCCTAAAATCCAGCTTCAAAGCAATAAAACTGCAAAACCAAAACAAGAAAAACCTACAGAAACTTACTCCAAGGAGTAGCCCTCCAAGACGACGATGATCAAAGAGAGAAACGGCGGTACTGAAATGATGCAGCACAGAGTTGTTGTTGTTGCTGCCGAGAGCAGCGGTGCAATATTCGTAGTGAAATTGAAATTTGGGAGTTTATTGAAATAGAGAGAGGGAATAAAAGAGAGGGAAGAAAGAACGACGGTGGGACGAGAAAGAAGTGAAGAATCATCGAGGGGAAAATGGAGGGAAGAAGCGAGTCATGTGCAGCAGAACAGTGGTGGTGGGCGTGGGAATGGGGACTCAATTGTAATTAACATAAAATTTGTGGCTAAAACTCATATTTTCCTTTTCCATTCTACTTAACTTCCGAACCTACCAAAAATATAAATACTTTTTTTTTTTTTTTAATAATGATAATAAAAGAAAAAAAGGAAACTAAAAGCCTCCCATAGTCAATGGTCATCTTCCAGTTCCTTACGTACACTCACATTTTTTCATTATCATATTTTGACGTGACAGGTTTCATCTTATTATATTTTACCTTTTGTTATTGACAAATTCAAAATGTTACGTTAAACATTAAACGTTCTCTCGATGTATTAAAAAAAAACCATCTTAATAGATTTTATAAAAAAAATCATCTTAGTTATTGTCACCGTGCTTTATAAAAAAATTTGTCCTCTTTCGGCTTTCCCTCAAAGCTTTAATCTGCTAAGGGAGGTTTCTATACCCCTTATTTTGTTCTCCTCTCCAACACGCTAACACTCTTTCTTTTCTTCCATCTTTGTGGGACCCCCACCTAATCCACCTTCTTTGGGGCCAGCGTCTTTACTAGCACACTGTTTAGTGTCTACCCATTTTGGGGAAGAGCCTCATCACTAGCACATAGTCCAGTATCTGACTCTAATACTATTTGTAACGACTCAGATCCACCGTTAGTAGATATTGTCCTCCTTAGGTTTTTCCTTTCGAAATTTTCCTCAAGATTTTAAAACATGTCTGTTAGGGGAGGTTTTTATATCATTATAAATGGTGTTTTGTTCTCCTCCGCGACCCATAAAAAAAAAAAAAAAACATTAAAGACCAAAATACATGAGCAAACAAATTATATAATTTTTTTTTTTTGTTTAAAGATTTTGTTGAGGCGCATTCAACCATCTTAAGAAAGAAATACGATTTTAATAAAGTAGTTGACAAAATATCGTGTCAAATTCAAAAAAAGAAAAAGAAAAAGAGTGACCCGGACGGTCGGACCGGAACCCGGAAAACTAGTCCCCAAAACCCTAACGCGCATCTACTGTACCCATTATATGAATATAAACCAAAGGTGTTGAAGTTCGAGTTCGGCGGTCTTGGAAAGCAAGGTCCGATTGCTATTGCCGGTATCCTTCTCTCTCTCTCTCGCTCTACTCTGCGTATAACTTATAGCTTTAAACCTATACCATTTCAATGCATCTTTGCAAAGTTAGGTAGTTTGTTTCTAGTTAAATGCGATTTTAAGCTGCAAGCGGATTCACTTTTTCTGCAATTTTGTTCGGTGGAGTAAACATCCTTGCAATTAGTCAATTTGGAACTGAGAAATCTGCTTGGTTTAGAGTTTGTAGGAACTAAGAAGATATGGCGGTGCCGTTGCTGACGAAGAAGATCGTTAAGAAGAGGGTTAAGCAGTTCAAGAGGCCTCAGAGCGACCGCAAGATCTCTGTCAAAGTATGTGCATGAACTTTGACTAGTTTTACTCTGTACATTTAGTATTTCTACTTGCCAGTGATTTTGTATTCAAGTATGTTCATATTTTGCATACGAGAGTTGAGCTTCGCTCGGCTTATTTGCGGGGTCGATAACGCTTAGTTTAGAATGAATCTGTATTATTTATCTCGATACTTAATAAGTTGCAAGTGGTTCTGTAGGTTATTTTCTGCTAGTCATTCATCTGTAGGTTATTCGCTGTTAATCATTCATCTGTAGGTTATTTGGTATCTATCTCTTCCTTTCAACTCGTGGTTCTTACTACATTCATTTCTAACGTTTTTTTGTTATTGTAAAAAGGTTGAAATCTCATATACGGCTTGATTACTCTCTCTTGCAAATGTTTTACAAATCTGTGCAATATGTGTTGGGTATTGTATAAAAACTGGCCTCCTGTAAATTTACCGAGTGATTCCTCAAATGTACGGTTGACAGACAAACTGGCGTAGACCGAAGGGTATTGATTCTCGTGTCCGAAGAAAGTTCAAAGGATGCACTTTGATGCCAAACATCGGTTATGGTACTGACAAGAAGACCCGCCACTATCTTCCTAATGGATTCAAGAAGTTCGTCGTGCACAATGTGAATGAGCTTGAACTGTTGATGATGCACAACAGGCAAACCACTAATCTCTTTCACATTTCATTTTAATATGTCATTACTCCTTTAACTTCATGATTAACTACATTTGGAAAGGTAATCTTACATGGCTGAGTTTTACTTAATTCTGTAATTTTAGGACTTACTGTGCTGAGATTGCACACGATGTGTCCACAAAAAAGAGGAAGGAGATCGTGGAGAGAGCTGCCCAACTCGATGTAGTTGTCACCAACAAGCTTGCTAGGTTGCGCAGCCAGGAGGATGAATGAGGAGCCGACTCCTAGACTCTCTTTTTGTTTTTATTATTAGTATTGTCCTTTTAATACCGTCTTATGAATATGTCTGTTATTACAGCTGCCTGGCTTTTGCTGTTTTTCTATTCTACTCAATGTCGGCCTTTATTTGACTAAGATTTCTAATTCCATCGTCATTTTTGGTTATTTTGAACTTTCTTTCTGCTTGATTACGGGCCATCAGCATCCACTCCACTGAACTGGTGGATCGATTTGATTGCTCGTATTTTGGCTGCGGCTACTCATAGTTAGTCAGGCGTGGCTGAGACTTACTAAGGTTTGCTGTCTGAGGTTTAGTATGACGAACGCACATCTTGAGCGAGGTAATTTGCTTATTTTATAAACACTTTTTGGGAAGAAACACAATTTAAGTGCTTTTATTTGAAGTTCTTTCAGGTGAGGGGTTATGTTTTTGGGTACCCTGGTGAATCTCTCTTTTATTTAATAAAAGCCTAGAATCTCGAGTTACTGAGGGTTACTATAGGTGTAATAGGTGTAATACTGGTCAATCCGAATTTTCTTTGAATGATATTATAATTGGTGGAATACTGGGCAATCCAAATTTTTTTTTTTAATGATATTCAAGAAAAGAGTATTATAAAAAAAGTTAGAGAGTTAGAAAGAGTATTATAAAGAAAGTTAGAAAATTAGAAAGTGCATTATAAACAAAAGTTAGTGAATTAGAAAGAGTATTATTAAAAGGTTTAGAGAATTAGAAAGAGTATTATATAAAAAGTTAGAGAATTAGAGGAACTCTTTCTCTTGGACATGCCTAGAAATACATCTACAAAAGCTTCGTATCGGAATCTATAAAGAATCTACAAAGAAATCAAGAATGAGGATTGTATCCAATTGATGAAGATGCACAATGAAGCACAATAATAAGGATTGTATCCACGATTTTGCACTTTTTAAAAGCCGTAAAAATTGAAAGTTTATTAGCAAATTTTCGGATCTCAACGCATCAGAAGTTCCCAAGTATAGGATGAGATGATTCTGTTGACTACTTGTATATTGAACACCAAAGAATCTACTTCCAAACTTATTATTCATAGCTAGAGACAGAAGAATTTTATATGTGATGTTTGTGAGTAGTAGCACACACTGATACTGGTAATCACGTACATGGAAGTTTCAATAGTATAGTATAGTGGCCGTTTGCTCTTTGTTTCGTTCTATCCCTCAAAGCCATTCGGAAGCTGCTTCAGTTCTCTCTCAAATTCGTAGTGACCTGGAAAGTAGCCATTTTCGTGGTCTTGCTCTCAAGAGAACTACCCTGAGGTTTTCCATGGTTCGATTCATCTCAGCTATGCAACATGAAATCTCCTTTTCCCTACATTTGTCATCATACAGGAAAGCAACGGTATGGATAAAAGAGCGATTGACCAACTTTGCATTTATCTCTACCGCTTGAAATAAAGCGATTTCAGGACTCAGAGCATTTGTGGGGGGAGATTTCTCCTCCCCAATTTCTTTATCCTTCAGAAGTTTCAGTTCATCAATTACTACGTCCACCTTCCGAGACGATGACAGAAACAGGAGGCGAACGTTGTCAAGAAAATGATACTTATCCTGCTCTTTGTATTTCACTCTCTGTATATCTTTCAGTATCGAAGATGTATAATCCATGAATTTGTAGAGTTTCAACACAATTTCCTCCAGTTCTTCAAGAGGCTTCAATGGCATATCAAACGGATTATCATTCTCTGTCTTCACTTTTGGACACTCTTTGGTTTTGAATGTTTCTGAAGTATTCGATTCTTCCGGGTTCTTTTTAATCGGAGGAGTCTCATCTTCTTCAGTCTTATACTTGGATCTTCCGTCATTTTCTTCATCCTTTTGTTCTCTCTGGAGTTTACTAGCAACGTATCTACGATCCGACTCCATGGCCAATTTGTTGAACTGAAGGATAATATCGTAATCATGATATTGAGAATGTGATGCATATCCAAGGAGATCTTCTCGAGTGGCTTCTTTAACTTTATGCTCAAATCCGCCATGGCTTTCTTTGTCTCTTTGCAGATCGTGGTGACCGTAGAGAGGTTTGTCGTTTTGTTCTTGCTTGGAAAGATCAAACGCGTTAACAGGTTGACGAATCGATTCAATGAATAGTTCAAGGATAATGTCTTCGTTTCTACTGAAAGCATATCGGTTTTCTTCTCGAATTTGATGTTCAAATCCGCCATGGATTTCTTCTCGAATTTGTTGTTCAAATCCGCCATGGATTTCTTCTCGATTTTGATGTTTAAATCCGCCATGGCTTTCTTCTTCAATTTGATGTTTAAATCCGCCATGGCTTTTTTCGTCTGCAAGGCTTCGACGATCTTGTTTTGTCTTGAATTCACGAACTGACTCCATGAACAAATCGTCCAACCTAAGGATAATATCTTCATTTTTCTTGATATATCGAGAATGTGGTGAATCCGCACGGAGATGTTCTTCAGTTTCAGTCTTGAATCCATCAGGCCTTTCTCTGTCTGCAAGGAATTGACGAACTGCCTCCAAGAACAATCTGTTCAACCGAAGGATCATATCTTCATCTTTCTCGATAGCATTTAGAGATTGCGATGCATCTTCATGGAGGTCTTCCTGTTTTTCTTCTTCAATTTCATGTTTGAATCCGCCACTACTTTCTTTGTCTGCAAGGATTTGTTGGCGAGCCAAATCAGCCGCGTGCACTGATTCACAAACCGAGTCCATGAACGATTCGTGCAGCCGTAGGATAATGTCTTCGTCTTCCTTGATATCACACGAAGAATACGATATATGATCATTGAGAACTTTGTGATTTTCTTCTCCAGTTTCAGCCTTGAATCCGCCATCACCTTCTTTATTTGCAAGGCTTAGATCATCTTGTTCTTTCTTGAATTCACCTTCTTTATTTGCAAGGCGTAGGTCATCTTGTTCTTTCTTGAATTCACCTTCTTTATTTCCAAGGCGTAGATCATCTTGTTCTTTCTTGAATTCAGGACCTGACTCCATGGCCGATTCGATGAACCGAAGGAGTATATCTTCGTCTTCCTTGATTTCTTTGTCTACCATGTATGAAATCTCAAATTTGCAATCCCTAATGAGGCGTTTGCAGGTAAAAGACTGAAAAGATCGAGATGGACAATCAACTTGAAGAAGTGATTCAGAATCGCAATGGGTGAAATTCTTCTAACCCTGTTCTCCTGCTTTATAGCCTACAAAACGGTTAACGGTTTTGAAACTTTCAATCTTTTTTTTATCTGACTTTAAAAACTTCGTTAAATCTTTAATTTTAACGACTAACATATTTGATCTTGCTAGTAACTGAACACACTTCTAACAAGAACTTTTTTTTTTTTTTTTTTTTTTTTTTAATAATATAATTTGCTTTAATTTCTTCGGCTGTTTAACTTGCTTTATTTCATCCTTTCCCTCCTCCTTTTATTTTTTTATTTCCTCTAATTTCTCTTTAGATGATGAATAATTTGTCAATATTTTGATGTTTATGTCATCAACTAAATTTTAGAAGGGTTTTAATCGACAATAAAATAATCTACACCAATTTTTTTTCTTTTATAAAAAAGATGGCATGAACTGAATTTAGAATTTATTAAAATTTGTAATTGGAAAATAGTTTAGAGTTTTTCACAAAATTGTAATTGGAAATTATCACAAAACCCTAATTTCTAAAATTTATATTTAACCTTTCTTAGCACAAAATTAAAATTCAGAAATGGTTATGTTGTTTTTTGGATTTCTTTTTGCCCAATGGAACTAAATTCTCTTTTATATAAATAAATAATATTTCTTTTATATAAATAAATAATATTTCTAATGTCATCTAATTTCTAGTTTGAATTAGTTATGATATTAATAATTATTTAATATTTCAATAATATATTACTTAGAGAATATATATATTCATAATTAGTAGTATATTTTATTTTATTCTTGAATTTACTTCCATCCCAATTCTATTTGTCATTCTAAATTTGTATTTTTTGGTTGAGTAATAATATTTTCATGGGTCATCTAATTCTCATATTTTGGCATTAATTTAATTATAATTAAGCTTGGTAGACTTTTTTTTTTTTAAAACCTCCTCATTTTATTGTTCAATTTCACATTCTTTGAAAAAAAAAATTCAAATAAATAAAATGATTTGGTGTTAAATTTAAAATTTCTAAAAACCACTTCCAAATAACTGCTACTTTGGTTAGTAATTCTTAGTGACGTAGAGATTGTGTTATAGTGTGTACTGTTCAAGTCATGCCAACAAACTTTTGCTACTCAAATTCATTGTTCTATAGAGATAGGAAGATAAATGCATGAAATTTTGTAAGAACGAAGAACACGTCGTGTTTATTAAAGAAATTCCTGTATTTTATTTGTTGTACATTTTCATGGTTTTCAGTCCGCATACTCCCGAAGATATTTCATACAATTGTTTCTTGAACTGATTAAGCTCTTCCATACAGGCGATCAATTCTTGTTTTGTGCAGTTTGGCTTTGCAGAAGCGCTAATATTCGGAGATCGGTCGAAGCTTTCATGCATCGTTTCCAGTTGATTCATAATCTGACGAATACGGGGAGCTATGATGAAATAGTTCTTCATTTGACTCAAATCATTCTTCATTCGCGCTAATTCAGATCCCAAGGTTTGGATGTTTTTCAAGAAAATCTCAGCCAGGCCGCCGCACTCATTTCTACCAAAATTCCACCTATTCTCATCATTGAATCGATTTCTCGCCATTAAAAGTATATGATCAATGTACTTACCGTATACACTCACGATTTCCTCCATCAATGTCAGTGGCTCCGCCATTTTCTCCCCTGATTTCACTGCCTCCATACTAAATGCTTCGCTACTCGAATCTGCACGCAGACGGATAACTTCAGGGGATCTTGTTCTTGCTCTTTTCGATGATTCTTCCGTATATTCCTCCCTTTCTCTTACTTCGAAACGACCTCGGATCTCTGGTGGAACATTAAACATCTTGATTTCTTCCACGCCCGCTATTCTCAGAGGTCTCTCCATTCGAAATTGAGGATACGGTGACTGGAAATCATCAACGAGTTTCTGTTTCTTTCTCGAATCTTTTTGCTGATCATCATCTGGTGGAACATTAAACATCTCGATTTCTTTCACGTCCGCTATTCTCAGAGACCTCTCCATTCGATATTGAGGATATGGTGACTGGAAATCTTCAATAAGTTTCTGTTTCTTTCTCGAATCCTGTTGCTGATCATCGTCTTGTTCTTTCGGATCTATATCCATCGCTCGATTCGTTCCACTCAAGGTATGATCACTATCTTCTTCCCCTTTCTTGATTCTTCTTCTCTCTTTCTTAGCGCTTCTTGCCACCGTCTAATTCAGATTTTCAAATGATTCAAATCCCCGTTTCCCTGTTTTCAAACTCACTCACTCACCATTTTATATTTATATACGGTCTATTTTCATATCTTGTAAAATTATTGTTTTTAATTGAATTTTTATTAATATATTTTTTTGGCTTTTCTCCTTCTTATTATTAATTATTTATTTATTTTTTAAAATAATATCTTAATTATTAATAATTAATTAATTAAGATTTTTTTTTTGAGTTTGAGGGAAAAAAAAACATATTTTCAATACATTGCATTTAAAAATTATTTATTAAAATAATAATTTGATAAGAGATAAGAAAAGAATTTTCTTTTTTTTTAGTTTTGGGAAAAAAAAAACATAGGTTGGAATTGTTAGTAATCACAATTCTCCACGATGTTATAATATTGTCCACTTTGAGTACCCAAAAAGTCTCATACCAATGAAATAGTATTCTTCCAAGGAGGTTCTCATGGTTTTGTTTTGGGCTTTCTCAAAAAATCTCGTACCAATGAAGATAGTATTCCTCACTTATAAACTCACGATCTTCCACTAATTAATCAATGTGGGACTCACTCCCAATAATCACTTGAGTGGAAAGAAGCCTTATATCAGTGGAGATAGTATTTCTCACTTCTAAACTCAAGATTCTTCTACTAAATTAATTAATGTAATTGATGTAGGATTCATTCCAAATAATCCATCCATAAAAGAAAGATATTTTTGATTTGAATTACAAAAAATAATGTTCCTTTGATTCCTTCATAAGTAATAACACTTCGGACACTAACTCATCCGCGCCGTTCTTGCAGCGTTTCAGCTCATGCTCACACACCCGCAATTCTAAATCCGTACAATCCTTCTCAGAAACAATCCCGATGTTTGGAGAGGCTTCCATATGTTCGTCAATCTCATCCAGGTGAGTCAAAATTGTATGAAATTTCACATATTCCTCCCTCAGATCCTTCCTCTTCCTTATCCGTCGCATTTCGTCGTTCATTATCTGCACCTTCCGTATTACGCCATCCAACAGATCCGCGCCTTCTTCCAGTTGAGATATCCAATTCGGTGCACCTCGACGCCTCTCTATCGCCATCTCCATCAGATGCCCAATGTATACAGAGAATCCCAATGTAATGCAGCGGAGCAATACCAGAGGATCGAAAATTATTTCAGGTTCGTGTATTTTCTCTTTTCCTTTTCTTGAAGTGCTGAATTCATTGAACAAATTCTTGTTTTCCTTTTTCTGCTTCTTCCTGTCGAGGCTTCCGTCGTCTTCCACGTCCTTAATTATTAAACGCCCTTCTTTTTTTCTCCTTTCGACTTCCTTCATCTTTGGATCTTCCAACTCTTTAAGGTGTGAGCGATTCCATAATTGGAGTATTGTCTTCAAATGTTTTTTCTTGAAATTGTATAGCGTTTGTACTGCGATTACTTGGTTCTCTGTTGTCGATCTCACTTCCTCGTTTTGTACGATTTCTCCGGGATCATTTTGTTCATTCTCCACATTGTTCATATCTTCTTGCGGATTTTCTTGTTCTTGCTCGTGTTCTGCGGCCGCGTGCACGGATTCTCGATTCGATTCGTGTGCCATTTGCGCAATCGGAGGCCGATTTTCTTTCTACTTCCTCGCCTTCCTTGAGTTCTTCAGTTGTTGCTTTCTCAACCTCAAATGTTCTCTTCTCTGTCGTAATTATATACAGCTTAAGAGTTAAAACCGAGTAATTCTTTTTTTCTTTTTTAAAATTAACCTCCGTTGAAATAAATCGGTTTTTAGAAGGGAAAAAAAATTATTATTTTATTAAAATATGGTTTTGCTTTTAAATTTTCAATTAAACTATAGTTTTAGTAAAGTTTTAAAATTTTAAAATGTGTTTAATAAGTATTGGATGAAATACAAAATATAGTATATTTTGTTCGAGGGGGATTGTTGAGAATTATTGGGAGTGAGTCCATTAGTTTAGTGGAAGATCATGAGTTTATAAGTGAAAAATATTATCTCTATTGGTACGTGGCTTTTTGGGAAGCCCAAAACAAAGCCATGAGAGATTATGCTCAACGTGGACAATATCTTACCATTGTGGAGATTCATGATTTTTAACATGGTATCAGAATCATGCCCTAAACTTAATCATGTCATTAAAATTCTCAAATATTGAACAAAGAGACTTAGATGGGTGGGTGACCATTTGAATTAAAAGGGATAAACAAAGAAGACGAAAGAAGATTAAGGAATGATGTTGAAAATCCATAAGAAGAGGTGATAGAGAGAAGAATGAGATGTTAGTTACATTTGGGACTTGAAATAATTTTCCTCGTTTGATGCCTTATTTATTCCCTTCAGTTCTATGATTGCCTCCATCAGCTCACTCAGTTGTTTCTTGGAACGCTCAAGCTCGACCAAGCTCGACGGCAACACATGCTCTGTAAATTTGGGGTCTGAAACAAGGGCGATATGAGGAGAGTAGCTGATTCGTGAATTCAAATCTCGAATTTCAACTATGATATCACCAATATGAGTTTCTCTGAAGGAATATTCCTCCTGCAAATTCTCATCGTTCTTCATCCGTTCCATTTCAGCAGGCACTCTCTTCAGCCTCTGCTTCAGAGTCTCAACCAGGTGCTTTCCTCTTTCAAGAATCTTGCTCCATCTCTGCATTTCCTTTTCTTCTTCGTATTTCCGTTCTTCTTTCAGCATCTCAAGTATGAACTCCACGAACTCGTGGTATTTCCATACGATTTCCATGATTATCTCCAGAGGATCCATTGCCGGATCGGATTCTGTAACAACCTCTGCTGCTTTCGCTGCCTCCGATTCTGCGATTCTTGTTCTTTTAATTGCTTGTTCTTCAGATTCTTCCTCTGATTCTATGGCTAACTCATCCGGCAAACTATCCATAAATTCATCAAAATCATCTGGCACATTCAACAGAAGGTCTAGGTCAAAATCATCTATGAAATATTCATCTTCCTCCTCCC